GATGGTAGCTTGATGACAAAAGTAATTTTTTTTAGTTTTAAAATATCCAAGGAATTTGGGAATTCGAGATCTCAATCTGTTTCTTTAAAATAAGAGAGTTTTCACTTGACTCAAGTTACATCTGAATTTTCTTGTAACGGAATGGACGAGGGAGGATTAAGAATATTTCGAATTTTTTTTTCTGTTAATCCCCTATTTATTTGTTTTATAGATTGTTCATAGGCTTATGAAATAGTTTCCATTGTGCACAAGATAGAAGATAACTTTTGCAAGTGATTTTTATTCTATTCGTCTAGCCCATAGTTCCAGCTTGATCATGCCTTCGTTAAAAAAATTGCGTTGTTGGAAATTAATTGAATAAACAAGACGGAAATAATTCAACAATTTCCTTGAACTCGTGATCGATACACTAATGGACATCACTGGTTATTTTCCCAGGACTTTCCCCAACAAAATCCCCACGCGGCTCAAGTCCTAGTGAAATTCTTCAAGAAAAAAATCCTGGATATCATAAGGCAATCCTACCCCTCGATGCCCGTCCTATTTATTTTCGTTGCCATGAATAAAATTTCCGTGAAAAATAAAAGACCATAATGGGAATATTTGCAATATTGTCCTAATTTTTTCTCCACTTTTTTTTTCGACCGGGATTACAGTATCCGCTGGTCCCCCTATTTTTCCACTTTTTTATCCGACCGCTTCCCTCGCCCCCGGATATTTTTTTATCCAGCCAATATTTCCCCGTTTCGCGTGACTCACATAATGGCTTTTCTATAAGCGACACAACCTAATGATTTATACTCAACGGCTTTTATGTATTTCCAGTGCAGCAATATTACATTCTCTCTTTTTTTAGTTTTCTCACCCCAAGAGAAAGGGGATTTGCCGTGCGGGGAGAGAAATTCGAGGGATGTAGAGGCCTTAATACAGTGTCCTGTTTGATTCCGGCGTATCGCTAAGTACAACCTATATAAATCGATATAATTAATAGGTTTGGCACGAGATCGGGTAACATATGGCGATCCTTTTTTATGTTTCTTTCAGGGAACAGAGGACCAAGCCGACACCTCAAACGGCCGCAACTCGGAGGGATTAGGTTCACAAAAAAACCTCGGGATAAGCCCAAATGAGGAAAAAACAAAATATCTCGAAAAATAGACCACAAGCTTCTCCGACTTGCATGCTAATTCGCCGCGCGGACTTTCTCCCGTTGTCCCATATTTTTTTTTTTACCAGAATTTCATTTGGATACCCCAAAAGATCGCTTCTCCGTCGCTCTTCAATGATATTTTATTCATGCATTTTAGACCACTTGGCTTACTCTAAAATAAAACATTCGTCATACTGCAAGCAGTTAAACAATAATCATTACTCTAAATAATTATATTATATTTATAATGAAGATAGAATTTCGCTTGGAAAGTGTCATCTGATTTTTTCCCCAAAAAAGTAAGAGAATGAAAAAAAAAGTGTTTGATAAATTCTGTACTGTTCTGAGGGGAATTATTGTTAAAATCGATTGACAAATAATGCACGATAAAATGACCTACAGTCTAGAGGTTATTGTTTGCATTGCCTTACCCCTTGTCAGTCACGTGGAACGAGGAATACAAGCCGCATTGCCAAGATATCGCATACGAAAAGAAAGAAGATAATGAATGCTAACCCTTCCACGAGTGCCCAGCCATCCCCAGCACGCGAATCGCTCCTGTTACTGTACTTAGCATAATTTCCATCGAATCGGGTATAATCGTAGCTGAGGGATAGAGTAGTAACAAAAGTACTGGCATTTTCGTGTCGCACACGCTTGTTCCGATGGGGCATTAGCATAGGCTCATCGAAAAATATAGCGCGACTAAATTCATGGGTTGACACGTGGCCCCAGCCAAACCCTCACCCGGTACCATAGAAGAAATAATAATCGAGTGAAGTAAAAGGGTTGTTAACAGATTCATTTCACATCGTAAATAAAAACCGAGTATTTCTCTCTTATGGTAATAAAATGGGAAACTCTTGGGGTGCGCTGGTACTTTTTTTTTCCCTCTAACGTTGTTTTTTTTGTCGATGTACGCGTGTCTCCGTGAAAGGAGATCTAGTTTCGTCGGAGACGTTTGTACTGGCACGTTCAATTTTATTCAAATATCTCAACCCTCTGGAAATATTTCCAACCCTCTAGGAATGCCAAATTGACATAATGGATATACGCGAGACGTGTGCCCCTAGAATGGTATAAAAAAGTCAAGAGTACAGGGGCGAAATCGATTTTCAAATGTCGACAGAGTGTGCCAGGCTTTTTCAGATTCAAATTTCGATGGGGTAACGATTGTGTGATTTTTCCTGTGAAAATGATGGCAGTCACCCCCGCGAAATTTACGCTGGGAAATCATATGCATCACGAGGGGTTGAGAATTTTTTTTTGTGGATTTGTGTTGAGAGACTTTTAGGGGATACGCGTTGATGAGGTGAATTTTTCAATCCAACTGGAAAATTTAGTCTACCGTAGGCGCTGAGGGCGTTTATTTTCGGAAATTTTCCGCTAAAATTGGAAAAAAAGGAAAATATCTTAATTATCAGGAGCTTTATATGGAATAGAGGAGTTCTTTTTCAATTAATAAAGAATCCACATAATTCACAAATCTAACTCAATGCAGTTCCATCATAAAATTAGGGGGATTCTATAGAATATAATTCGGTCTTCAACAAACAAAAATTATGAAAAATTACCAAATATTTAATAAAAACATCCCTAAGAAACGGCAGATTTTTTTTCAACTTTTCTCGTGAATCAGCCCCGAAATTGAAAAAAAAATTTTTCTTTCACTTCCGTGATCGACTGATCTCTTTTTGAATATTTGTTTAACGCTGTGTGGCCTGAACCGCAGAAAACCGGGGATATCATTGGATAGTGCGTACCGAGACAAGAGATTGAGTTAATGGAGACGTTAATTACTCCAGCACGACGAGGATGTGGTACTTGAAAAATGAATCTCTGGGTGGAAAGCCGGGTAGGCGGAATTCAATTCGTGGTTGTTAATCAGTGGCTGTGCGACGTTATTACTCGAGAACAGAAAAAGGCGTAGACAATTAGTGGATGACCGTTTGAAGGGGCTGATGGAGCTCCTGCAAGACTCAAGTAAGTTCTGAGAAGGCCCAGAGAGGTAGCACGAGGTTACTTCAACTGGGGAGTAATAACGGTTGTTGGTACGAAGCCGGCGAATTGTCATAATTTTTTTTCCATCCTCAGTTTGCTCGAACCAAGCATTCCAATGACCCTTAGGAGGGCATCGATACTGAAGAGATGACGCGAATTTCAGGACCACCTGAGACGACAGCTAATTCCGAAGGCTTTCATTCCCAGAACAATGAATCCACCCAAGCATTTTTCGGAATTCGTCATATACCCATGAGTATTTATGTACTATAATTGAATTTGTTATTCCTTATCCCTTATCTTATAATAAGGGGTGAGTTAATGGAGAATTTGGAAGTATCACTCGATAAAGTTGTTCAATTCGAAAAGAGTCAAGATGGTGAGCATTTACCAGAGCAATTTAATTATAAGCTTCTAGCTTCCTCAATGACGTTCCCAAGGATTAAGGCCATTTGCATCAGTTAATTCAATTAAATATAGAATGAATAAAATAATAAAACCTACCCGTGTTTAGGTCACGAGGGTGTAACCACCTTAGTGCTTCCCTGTCGTATTTAATTTGGTGTCTGAGGCGTATTAATTTGTCACTCGAATCATGTGCCACGAGCCTGATAGACTCATCAATAAAACATTCTCCTTTACGGCACTTTTACCTGTATATTTTTTTTCTCTTTATTTAATTCCACCATTTAATGTACAGGCAATCCAACAGCACTAGTGAACATCATTACACTGCATGCGCACATCGCACATCCTCCATGACAAGACTTAATAGGAATCAAGGGACAAGGAATAGGAAATAGTAAATCAAATGAAACCATAACAACCCAAAAAACAACAAAATTCAAATTAATCTTTCGATAGTATAGCTTTATTTAGACTAGAACGGAAGAAAATAATATTAATATAATAATAATCATATAAAATAATAAACTATGTACACAGGAGTTATGGGACCGACATACATAACATCGTGAGTTGTATATATACGTGAGCGTAATGTCACTTACATGTGGTTTCTTCAATAATCTCTAATGTATATTTACTCATTTTATTCTCTCTCTCTCGCTTTAACTCTCTCTCTACTCGTTTTTTTTTTAAATTCTATCTCTCATGGTCTCAATGCTCGATGGTAAGAAAAAGTGAAGAAGCGCACCGCCACACCCTCGACAGCCTCACACAGACCACGAATGAAATGAAAAAAAAAAAAATGGTAATGAAAGAGTGACCTTTCCTGAGCAGAAAAAAACGAAAAAAATCGGAGGGAAGAGGAACCCCAAGGCTCCTGTTGGTCAGTGTGGGCGGCTGAGAGTGCAGCGATCACATGTAGAAAAAAAAACTCATAAATAACTAACGCATAAAACAATAATGATAATTAATGGATGGGTCGTTTGGCGATTAATAGAAGACCATCAACCTCGACGTCATTCTCAGCATATTATCGAAGTCATTCGTATCGTTTATTCATTTTTTGTTGTATTTTTTTTTTTTTTTCAAATAATTTTCAACGTTTCCACGCTTTATTTCGCACGAGGGGCTTGTGGTGAGGCACTGCCACCCCCCTGTGGGCGTACATGAGTTTTTTTGCAATGTGAAATGGAAGGGATACGTGTGTGTGATGGTGCGCTTGTGGATAAAAGGGGGACAGGAATCGGGACCAATCGAGTGAAAGATAGGGCCCACTCCTCCATCCCCTCCTTTTATCCACTAAGAGACTAAAGGGCTGAGGTATTTACAGTGAATGCGACCGGTTGCTGCGATAAAACAACCTCTCGACGCAGAAAGATGACACGGTGTCTTGGAATGGCTTCGTCGGGGGGAGGGGAGACTGG